TGGTGGGGGTAGGGGTGCGGGGGGGGGAGAGATGGGTGGGGGTGCCAGAGGCAGGCTCTGGCCAGGATGCACTTACCTAGGCAGCCCCTGGCCAGCAAGCCAATGGGACCGTCATCAAGGGTCCCTGTCTGCCACGCCCCCCCACACCGCCCAGAGCAGCTGGCTGCAGGGGCCATGTGCTCTCTGCGCACTGCGTGCCCTGGGGGAGGTGGGCTGGGGTGTTACTTCACATGCTGCCTGCACCACAAGCAGGGCCCAGGCAGCTCCCCAGGGGTGCGTGGCACACACAGAGCACATGGCCCCCACAGCTGGCCGCTTTGAGCCGTGTGGGGAAGGCAGGGAGCCTGCCGAAGGCTCCCTCTGCCTGTGGGAGGTGGCGAGCCAGATCCAGCGGGTTGGCGGCTGGTTCCGGCCCACAGGTCATATTTTGCCTGTCCCTGAACTAGAAGCTGATTCTCTATTTCCTGTGCAGGGAGCCCTAGAGCTGTACAGGTGGCCAGGCCCCACTCCCCCCAGCGCAGCAACGCCCAACTCAGAATAAGGATATGTTTCCGGAGAGCCAATGGGATTTAGGCTTCTAAGTCAGGTGAACCGTGAAAGATCCGGCCCCTGCCCCAGGGAGCTTACAAAGGGGACAGATGACACAGCCCCGACTCACCACGCCGGAGGAGAGCCAGCAGGGGGGCTTCCCTTCATTCACTTAGTGGGCAACATTCTCACAGATGCACGTTGGATCAAACCAACTGGGCGAGAGGGCCCAGGCACAGGGCACGCTGCTCACCCCGGCCATACCCTGCTATTCCAGGCGCGGCCAGGCCACGTGACCCCCCGGCCCTTCCCCAGGCAGGGGCTCCCAGCCACAATAAAACCTCGGCCGCGGGCAAGAGATTTTCCATCTGGCTGCCATCAGCTCTCTCCAGCTGGGGAGCCCGGCCGCACCCACCCCTGCTTCCCTCCAGCTCACCCCGGAGAAGCCCCTCTGGCAGGCACACTCGTAGCCCTCCAGCCGGGGGTGGCACCGGCCTCCGTTCTGGCAGGGCTGGGGTTTCTGGGAGCAGGGGTGGGAGCGGAAGGTAGAGATCTCGATGGCTCTGCGGATGTTTTCTTCCTTCAGCACCGGGACCCCCTTAATGGAGATCTGAAAGGTGGGGACACGGGGGAGGGAAACCAGAGGGTTACACAGCACTCCCAGCTGGGGTTCGGAGGGATGGTGGGTACAGAGAAAGGGTGGAGGTAGAGTCCATCCCAGGAGGGACATGGAAATTCAGTTCATCCCCCCTAGAATGAAGCTCCCTGAGCCTGGTATGTCCCTTGGCAAGGCCCTCCTAGAACGTGCCCTGCCCGCCTCTGCTACCTCCTGGGGGGGCATGCCTCAGCACGCAGCAAAACGTGCCCCAGCACGTGGAGAGCAGGTCTTGGGACTGCTACCATGGTGGGGTACCGCGGACAGATAGGCTGCCACTCACTGGATCCCCACTGCCGGATGCCCACGCCAGGCTGCCAGGCAGGGCTCCCCTCCAGGCCCCAGCCAGCAGCCTTACCCTCTGCATGGCTCCGTCGAAGCTGGTGGAGATGGCCGCGGCACGAGCCAGCTTGCTGAAGTCGGGCGTTCCCCCCACGTACAGCGGCTCCTTCAGGTTCAGGAAGGTGTGAGGAACCTGGGGGTGGGGGCAGAGAGAGAGAGGTGAACAGGGGAGTGAACGGCCCAGGCCTGCATCCTATCGGGGGGAAGGCAAGTTCCCCTGCTCTGCTAGCACCGCCGCTCAGCACCGCCAGCATCTGCTGCCCTCTCTGGACAGGCAGGAGCCAGGGAAGGCAGCTCGACATGGAGACAGGGTCCTAACATAGCTCAAGGGCCGGCCCAGTAGGAGGGAAGAGACGTCAACTCCCTCCCTACTCTGACTGACGCCAACGGTCCTTTGCCCAAGGGAAGAGAGCTCCTCACTGGGGCAGGCACCCCCCAGGCCCTGGGCAACGTGGGAGGGGGACTCTGGCTCCGCACTTCTGGAAGGGGCGTGGCCAAGGGCTGGAAGGGGCGTGGCCAAGGGCTGGAAGGGGCGGGGCTGAGGGCTGCTGGCCCTCAGTGCTG